GACTGTTGCTGTTGGAATTAATTTTGAATATAACTTTATGCTACATATAATTATTTTGTTTGATAATTAATTATAAGTAGATTAAAATAATCTTTAAAATGAAAATATATTTCTGACGATCACAAAATTAATTATCCGGCAATGAAAAATAAACTACATCATTCATTCACAGAGTTGCTAGGTCAAAAATCTCGAATTTAAGAAGAAATTTTTTTGGGGAGACGATTAGGTGGGCTGAAGAGATTATTGAGCTAACTTTTTTTTATCATAGTTGTTACTTTATTACTTTTTACAAAATCTTATTATTTATTCCTTATAATGCTTCCAAATTAAGGGGTTTTGCATTATATTTAAAATAATCAGATTTTTTAGGATTTTAATTTTGCCCACTTTTTTTAAAATTAATACTCTATATTTGGTATAATATCGGATTTAAGCCATACTACTTATATTTAAAGTGTAATAACTATAGGCCCAGTACTCGTCCCAATCTAGGATTTTGTACAAACATTAAGAAATATAATGCCCATTCTGTAAAAAAAATTTGAAAGAAAAAAAAACAATTTTTATTTTATAGCCATTTCCGGTTATCTATTTCTGGTTTTTGGTAATAAACTTATTTTCAATAAAATAAATTTTATATCATATTAAAGGGCTATTCTAGAGCTATTTAATAAAATTTAAATTATGTCTTTATAGCTTAATTACATTTTGAGATATTTAAAATTAAATATATTTGGAATTTTCGCGTTTCTAAAGATGGCCATATCTCATGAAGTAAGCGAGTTGAGAATTAAAATTTTATATTTTTACTAGTTAATGTATATACTACCATCTACAAATTTTAACAAAATTCGAAGAGGGTCGGTTAGAAACTTCAGTTGATGAAATTACGCCAAAAATAGTATATAAGATATCGTTTTATAATAATTATTTTTTATATATAATTTATAAAAAAAATAATACAAAAATAATAATTTTTTATTTATTTTTAACAACTGATTTTTAAAATGTTGTTCAGATAAACAAGAGTGCTTAGTGCTAAACAGCTTTCGGTGTGCTAAGCACACGTTCAACTGGTGCAGAGGATGGGAAGGTTGTATTATATTGGATAAATAAAAATTTTAATTGGGGGAATTTATTAAAAATTAAAGAATAATCTTTATTTTGAAAAAAGCTTAGGTCATCTTCAAAAGAATCTTCATTAGATCCTCATCCAGTTTTTTAAAATATCTTTATTAGAAAATAATCTGTGCATGTGTTGTTTTTTAAAGGAATCAAGTCTGCCCTTTTTTGTCAAGATCTTTTCTCACATAAAAATTTGTTCAAACTTCCTTCTTTCTCTGACATCTAGTTTTATGTGGGCCGATCCGATTAAATAGCTAGTGAATTATTGCTGATAATATATATTCATTGAAATAAAATATTATCAAAATATAAATTGTGAACAACAACTGTTTATCTATTATCTTTGTCTTGCAAAATTGCATTAATATATGGCTTACGCTAAACAGCTTTCGGTGTGCTAAGCACACGTTCAACTGGTGCAGAGGATGGGAAGGTTGTATTATATTGGATAAATAAAAATTTTAATTGGGGGAATTTATTAAAAATTAAAGAATAATCTTTATTTTGAAAAAAGCTTAGGTCATCTTCAAAAGAATCTTCATTAGATCCTCATCCAATTTTTTAAAATATCTTTATTAGAAAATAATCTGTGCATGTGTTGTTTTTTAAAGGAATCAAGTCTGCCCTTTTTTGTCAAGATCTTTTCTCACATAAAAATTTGTTCAAACTTCCTTCCTTCTCTGACATCTAGTTTTATGTGGGCCGATCCGATTAAATAGCTAGTGAATTATTGCTGATAATATATATTCATTGAAATAAAATATTATCAAAATATAAATTGTGAACAATACTTCAACTGTTTATCCATTATCTTTGTCTTGCAAAATTGCATTAATATATGGCTTACAAAATCCATTACCGATTTATCATTATCTAAAAATCTCTATCTATGGATTAATCACAAGATTTGTCAAATTTGTGGCCATTCTCCTTAATAAAACTATATATTAATTTCACGGAGTTATAGAAAAAGTTCCATCTTGTTATATCCAGTATAATCAGATGTCCCATTTTTCCTTAAAAATGGCTGCACAGTTTGGATGCTTATTCATTCCACAATTAAGGTTAAAATATTTGAGCTAGGACACAATTTACATTTACAAGATGTAAACATTGTACCCTTAGTTTTCTTCATTAGTGTAAGAAAAAAGTTTCATATTGAAGCCAAAGTGGGTTTTACTCATCTTCAATTGAAGAAAATGTAAAATTGATATACATTGATTGATTCAATATTAATTAGATTAAGAATCTTGATTGAAAATTTAACAACAAAATTTTAAAATAAAACAGAAGGAAAAGGAAAATGTTGCAGTTACTCGTTACCTCTAAGGTAACGATTTACTTTTTTGACGCTACAGCACTAGATATAAATAATAAATCACGATATTTTTTATCAAGTTCTTTGGTATCCCTTTGTCAATGAATCATTTTTTATTGATTGACTGATATTTAAAAAAATTAGATCATCATGAACATGTTGACAATAATATTTAAATGTCATTATAGGTGAGTGCTCGATTCAGAAATTAAACTTTTATTTAAAAATATACCAATAAAAAAAATCCAAAACTAGTAAGATTAAAAATAGATGATTCCTCTAGAAATCATCATATAGTCCCGTCTAATTGATAGCTTTAAAAACTAGAGTAAAATGACTTGAATAAGCTTAAATAAAAATATTTTTTTATTTTAGAAATTCTTTCTAATATATTCTTTATTCATAACAAATACCTATAGAGGCAACATTTGCACAACACGGCCAGGATTTTTTTTATAAATTTTTGGGCCCAGCCTGGATTTTTTAAAAATATATTATATTTGTTTATAATTTTTATAGCCAATAATGGCGATTTAAAATATTTGGTTTTAAAATATATGGCCTGGCCCAAATATTTTTCTAAAAAATTTTTTAGGTTCAGCCCGAGATTAAAAAAAATTCCAAGCCCGCTTGGGTATATTTAAAAAAATACGGTCTGGCCTTGCAGATCTCTGGTTCATAAACAATTGGCTAGAACCTAGCGCGATTTGACGAGAAGGAAAAAAATGAATCTGACAAAGATTCAAATTAAATAAATATAAAGTGATTGCTGGGTTTCAACAATATTTTGATTATTCCTAATGAAAAATTTAAAAAATTATCCATTATCACGCAATATTGCCGAGTGTAAAATCATCTTATGAATTTATTCAAGGTAGATAATCGAACGAGTTTAAGTGTAAATAATTTGTCTAATTTAATGTTCATAAATATTTTCGATATCAGAATGGATTCCAGATCCATATATCAAAATACGGAAAGAGAATTATAGCAAGCGAATAAAATCTTTAAAGAATTTTTTTTAATTTTTAGATATCGATGGTAATAAATTTGTTTTTTATAATATAAATAAAGAATTTATTCATATTATGGGCAAGTCCATAAATCTCAAATACAAACAGATACAACAAATATGATAATACATCTTAATTGATATCCAACATTTAGGAACTCGCTAAATAATTTTCGACAGTGTAGCTTAAAATAATTTTGTCTACATAAATCTTATATGTAAGAAAATTTCAAAAAAGTAACAGGGTTTGGATTAAGCAAAATCACCATGTTTACAACCTTGATAAAAAATTAATTAAAAAAACCCTTTATATATATATATATATTTTTAATAATGTATTAAATAAATGTAGCCCCCCCCCCCAGTCAAATTTTTACGCAATACAACACTGTTGGTTGGTGATATTATAATATAAAAAATTGATAGTGAGTCTTTTAACTCAAGAAATCCTCTTATAAAATTTAAAAAAGTTAGTTCTAACATAAGTGTAGGTAATATATATATGTTAAAGTCAATGTGTTTAATCCGGCAATGTGTTATTTTTTAAACTTTAAATTTTTTTGAGCACGTTTTTTAAATTTAAAAATCTGATTTTACCGGAAAATCATGTTTGGAATACCTACCCTATGAATTTCAGACAATTTTTTGATAAAATTTTAAACTTAATATAATTTTCATTCGATTTCCCATATATTTTTTATATAATTTATGAATGACTCAAAGGTTAACAGTAAAATTGTCTACAATTCATACAATTGATAGAATATATTTCTGGTAAAATCCGATTTTTAAATTTATTAAAACGAGCTCTATAAATGATTTACAGTTGTAAAAATAACACATTGCCTGAAAAAACACATTGACGCTAACTTATATATTGTTTTAATTATTAACTTAAGAGATTATTATATATTGTTTTAATTTTTTGATAGCTTTAAGAGAGTTTGGAACCAGAATCTAAAACTCTTGAATCAGGTCAAATTAAAAAAAAACAGGAACACGCTTTTAAAAAAATATTCAAAACCAGAACCCTTTTTAATCAGGATTCCAAACTGCCTACACGTTCAGTTTTATATCAAGTTCTATTAAAGATATGAATAGACTGCAAACTGAATAACGAAGTTTTGTTTACTAACCCCATTGATTATAATCTTGAAGGGTCAGGCTCACAGTAAGATGGTCAATAAAATATAAACACAGTCTGTGACCTGAAAAATATTAATTTTTCTCTTATCCTTCTTTTTTTTTGCCAATGTGAATATCACAATTATAAATTTAATTTAAAAAATAAGAAAGGTTTAATTGAAAAAATAAATTTATTCCATAACATTTTATAGAATAAATATTTTGAGTTCCATATTTCTTCCATATATGTCTTTTTAAAAATACGTGTGTCAATGTATTGGGCCCAAATCAAAAATTAGATGTATTCATTTTGCTCATTCCTTTTATATCATAGTTTTATGAATTAGGAGATGGAAAATTGTATAATTAATTATGTTGAAATGGGTAATGACTTAAAAATATATGCAGTGAATATACCTATATTCTGACAACTTCCCAGAAAATTTTTTTTGAGCCACTGATGATGACATTCCATAAAACTGTTTATAAATTTTCCCATCTTTTTCAATTTTATCCCCTCCAGATTGATCATGACCAGCTAGCATGCCACCTAGCATCACAAAATCGGCTCCAGCACCAAAAGCTTTTACTACATCTCCAGGACATGTACAACCTCCATCCTTAATATGAATTTTATTAATAAAATGTTGCCAGTTTGTAAAAGAATGATAGATATAAAAGTTATAAATAATTATAGTAAATATATATTTAAATATGATAAGATTCCAGGCCTGATTCTAGCTTAACACATTGGGGGGGGGGGAGGGGGCAGACAAAAATTTTGGAAGGGCAGTTAAAAAAATTTTTTAACACCATAGGGCAAAATATTTAATATTTGAACAAAAAATTGAATTATAAGATTTTATTTGAAAAATACCACATATAAAAATATAGAATGATCAAATATTCTTATAAAATTAGATGGAAAATAAGAATTGATTGACTTATAGCTGGAAAGAAATAAGGTGATTTAATATGTATTTTAAAAAAAATTGAAACCTAAGCCTGGCCTAAATTATTATAAAATTTATGGCAAAGATCAGACCAGGCTCAAGTTATTAGAGGATTCTAATAGTTGTTAATTCAATATTTATAGCATATAAGTTCAATTTTTGTACATAAAAAACTTTCTATTAATAATATGGCATACAATAATTTCATACTGCAACTATATGTCCTCCTAAGCCATGAGCAGCATCTGCACATTCAATTACAGCACTCAATTGAGGATAACCAACCCCAGTTTTACTTCTTGTTGTACAAACTGATCCAGGACCAATTCCCACCTTTATGATATCAGCACCAGATAAAATTAATTCTTCCACCATTTCACCAGTAACAACATTCCCTGCCTATACTTAAAAAATTATTTTAACATATTTTTATTTACTAGTAATGTTTGATCAAAGGACTCTCTAGTTTTGCGGACAAAATTGACAAAACTTTCAGAATAACCATTTGCAACATCCAAGCATATATATTTAATAAGTGGAACCTTTTTAATAATTTGGCTCAGGTTTTGCCAATCATTATCTTGAATACCTGAACTTACTGCAACATTCTAAATTCATAATATATGTATACTAAAATATAATTTGACTATTTAAGTGTCTTTTAAATATAGTAAGTGTGATTAATTTATAGAAAGAACAACTTTGTAATATATTCAAAGCAAAAAAAACTTTATCAAGATTTTAAAACATTTGGATTTTTAAAATTATAGATATATATATATATAACTGCAAACTTCTAAAATATCGGGATTTTCTTCAGCAAATTTTTCCCAATCAGCAGCATCATAAAATTTGTGCATGCAAGTAAAAAGTTGATGCTATTTCTAATATAATGTTAAAAATGATGGTTAATAAACTTTATAGAGTGCTATGGCCATATCAAAAGTTCCTACAGTATCCATATTTGCTGCCATTATTGGTATTCCAAGGTACTTTCTCTTTGAATTTCTAAAAAAATACTCTCTCTTTAAGTCAACCTAACAAAAAAATAATAATATATATATATGAATAAAGAAACTAAGAATTACATCCATGCGAGTCTTTAATGTACTTCTCTTAGGTCTTATAAGAACATCCTTATAGTCCAATTTTATATCATTGTCAATTCGAGGCATGGAAATTTTCTCAGCTGTGCAAGTTTTCTAAAATCGATATACACCTGTCAAGTGACAGGCTATAGTTCAAATATTAAACTTATTTTAAAAAATGAAACATATATGGTAGTTTCCGAACGTATAGAAAAATTGATGGTTTATAAATAGTCCCCAAATTTTTTTATACCAGATCGTCATAGATTTTTAAAAATATTTAACGTTATTCCCAAATTTAATTTAAATTATTTCGAGTATATCATTTTCATTTTAAAACCAAAAAGTTAATTGCAAACAGTGGCGTCGCTAGGAGAGGGCGCAAAAGGGCTCGAGCCCCTGAAGCAAAAAATTTTTTTTAAATGGCTCATTAATATCCCCTTGAACTAAAAATAAATTTTTTTAATTGCCCCCTGAACGATTTCTTTTATAATTCTATTGAGTAATATATAGATTTAATTTTATTATTTAAAAATTAATAAAACTATCTAAATTATTATTAAATGAATACTATTTTAATTATTAGATTAGATTATACATATAAATTATATTTTCATTATGTCAGCTTGCAATCAAATTCTGTGTTTAAAATAGAATATTAATATCACTCATTAAATATTAATTTAGCATTAACAGTTGGAGCTTTATTAACTTTTATTATTTAAATTATTATATAACCCTAATTAAATAAATATTAATTGAAAATTAACAAATTTAATTTTGTAATTAGCCGAGTTCAAAATCACTAATCAACTATATTAATGATATTTAAATAATTACCATACCTCTTCTTAAAATAATTTTCAAGGACCAAATCCAAATAAGTATAAGAGATTTATTTATAAAAAGTAAGTAAACATATAGTTTATAATCCTTATATTAGATATAATTGGTTATAAAAGATTAGGTTAACTACCACTTTTACAGACGTATTTGACAGTTATATAAAATATTACAATTAATATTTTAATAAATTTTACTAATAAATCTTTTGATTATAAATATAAGTAATAAATTGCATTTAAATATTTAACGCTATCTATTTATTTTAATTATTTTTAAAAATTTAACATCTTATTATTTATCCCAGAATGGATATAATAAATAAGAAAACTTTTCTTTTCTTTTTTAATGTGTTTTTAGGAAAGCTATTTATTTCTTATTTGAAAAATAGTTTTGAGTTTAATTTTTAATACTAGTATATTTTTGATATTTTTACAAACTACTACTATTTTAAGATATAATATACCAACTAGAGGTGCTGCGCCAATAATAAAATCTTAATTAATTTCTTTTATCATATCATATCACTCTGGTTTTTATTTTATAGTTACAAAATGTTTCATTTCTAATATGGCATCCCTGCCTTGTAAATAACTTAAGGTTTCTATACATTTGCATGATTTCTTCTAAGGATTTTTAGTATTTTTGTTTTATAATTTATCTAGCATAATAAATTCTGATATAAGTTAATATAGTTGCTGTCATGGCTATGACTGCAAATTAATCAGCATCTATTATTTGTGTGGCTATGTAATTTAAGATTATTATTACAGCTGCTGAGAGCATATGTTTGCATATTTTATAAGCAATAATGGTCAACTGTGTAGTTGTTTATATATCATTAAAAATGGAAGATAATCTTTTAGAAATTTAATATCTCACAATTTTTTTCTCAATTACTTATCTAGCTTCCATCATATCATTTAAGAGGAATCACTAACTACTATATAGTTTTATGATTTGGATTGGTCATTTATATTCTCTTCTCCAACAATTGTTGATTTGGTTAGGCCTATAAATTTTTAATTATTAGTCCATTCTATAAAACATTGTCTAAAAATGGTAACAGAGTGTTATATTAGTTTCTTGACCTTTTGTCAATGTTAGTTGCTAATTTTATAATATCTAGTTTTTAAAAACCATTATCAATTGAGGTATATGTATGAATTAATTAACCTTTTTTATCACTTGCAATTCTTTAGACGCAAAATTTATATCAGCAATAGAAAATATTTTATACTGTAATAAATAGATTTTGTATTATAATATTTTTAGAAATGTCTTATATTGTTTTAATTATTATATTCTAGTTTATTTTGTATGCATAATATAATAAATGACAAAATATGAAATTCCGAATAATTCGAGTTTGTAAATTTTTAAAAGTAATAATATATTAATATAAACCGAAGGCCGGGCAAAAACGGGCCGTAGGCCTTCAAATGGGGAATATGGGGGGCTTCGCACCCCATAAATTTATTTTAGTTGAGCACCCTGAAATTTTAAAGAAAAAATTTGAATAGCCTCCTGAAGCAAAATTTTTTTTTTAATGGCTCCTTAATATCCCTTTGAACTTGTTAATACATTCGAAATATATTTTAAATTATATTAACCTACGGACTTGTTATTGTAGTAAAGAAGTAATTTATTGTAATATTTTATCATATTATATATTATATTTGCCAGTTAGATATAATTATATATATATATATATTTACGATTAATATAATAGGTGTTGTTTAACTTCCTAATGTATTATGTACACACCCATCCATTAACGTGTAATTATATATCGCTATTTGTAATTAAGTTGCACCTTATGGTTAAAATATACTGAATAAAATGTCAATGAAAACTGATATTTATTGTGAATGAATTATAGAAATAAATAAATATAAATCATGGTTCTACCTTCGCTAAAGTGGCGACGACAAGGATTCGAATATTCTAATTAAAACAAATAAGAAAATAGTTATTAATTTTATAAATTATGCCTCAGTCCAAAAATACTAGTATAATTGATAAGTTAGAAAAATATCAAATTTTGGGACGCAACGTTAAGACTAAAGAACTGGACACAGACCGATCAAGAAAATAAGGACCTGTTCATGGTGAGTTTTGGCACTGAGGGCATTGACATTCTCAAACAATATTTATTTTCTGAAACCATTCTAAAGACTAAATTTGATAAGATAAGGAGTGTCTCGCTACATATTTTTGAGAAGAATAATTTTCGGTAGTAGATTTTCATAAGGTTAATTAGGAATGAGAATGAACCAATTGGAGAGTTCGCTAATAGAATCAAAATAACTGCGAAAGCGTGTTGTTTTACGCCGTCAGAAGTTGACGGCCGGTTAAGAGATCAAATAGTTGCGGGTATAGATCTACCAGGTCTCGAAGTTGAACTTAGGACTAAATATCCTTTAACATTGGATGTGAACAAAAGCCCCTGACGTTCCAGTTTGTGCTAGATATGGCCACGGCAACAGAAAATGCTCAAAACGAAATGACTATCAAGAAAGACTTAATAAATAGTGTCAGACCGCAAGATTGCAAACATAAAATGCCTAATTCACAAGAGTGTGTTAAGAGAGACAATAAATATAGGAAGCCTAATAACAAGTTTTACGTTAATAAATGTAAGAATTGTGCCGGCTGGCATGAAAGATATTTAAAGACAAAACATCTTTTAAGTGCCAAAGAACCGGACATTTCGCAGCATGTTGCCGTAGTAAGCCTGTATATCGCAATTTAAACTCAGTGAAACCATATTTTCACTCAAGTGATTCAATTAATAATCTCTGGACAAGGGGATTAAATAAAAGGGCAAAGATCACAGCCAAAATAAATGAACTTAGTGTCACTTTTGATTATGATACAGAAGCACAAGCTTCTATTATAGGATTGAATATTTGGGAGAAAACTGGCAAACCACTAACATCTCCACAAACCCATTAGCAGCCTATGGAGATAAGCCTTTGGATCTTATGGGTGAAGCCATGGTTCGTGTGCAAGTGGGGAAGGAAATTCGCAATTTATCAGTTTTTATAATGGGATTCGAACCGAACCCGAACCTCGGAGAAGTGAACCCGGGTTTTTAGAAAAAAACTCTGAACCCGAACCGAACCTGAACCCCATTTATAAAATTTTCAAACCCCGAACCGAACCCAAGAATTTTATTTGAACCCGGGTTCAATCGGGTTCAGTGTATTATTTAAAATCATATATTAATATATGTAAATACAAATATTATATTTTCAAATTTCCAATTAAATGAAGTCTTAATAAATGTTAAACAACTTTATTCATTTATGCCATTTTTAAATTTATTCTCGATTCCTATTGGAGTGTTAAAAAATTTTAAACAATTGAATTAATTTACGCCATTTATTTTTAAATTTTTATCTTATTATTCTTAAAGATTATTAATTAGAAGAAAATGGTTAACAAATCAAAGTAAAAATTATTATATTGTTAATTTAAAAAATTCTAAACATCTAACTTAAAAATTGTTAAATGTAGGGCAGTTTTTGTGAACTTATTAAAATGATTTTAAAATTTATATATGCTAATCATTTATTTTTGGTTCAGTTTAATTTTTACAAGATATTAATGAAGTGCATATTATAAATGAAATTAAATTTATAAATATCTCTTTTTTAATTCTGAAATCATTGCTATTTAAAAAAATTGTTCTCTTTTTATAGATTTAAGATTAAAGATAAAGTCATATTTGATAAGCATTTTACCCTTAATACCAGTGTCTACATGGCCGGGGGGGTAGGAGACAAATGCCTCCAAAAAATATTGGCATTTTGGGGGGTAGGTATTAATTTTGGGGGGTAGATATTGATTTTTGGGGGGTAGGCATTTGTTTTTGGGGGGTAGGTATTGATTTTTGGAGGGTAATTTTTGACTTGTATTATGATATTTTTAAATCCAATAATCGATATGATTATCGTTGATTTTCTGAAAAATGTCAATTAAAGAAAAGATATCTGTCAATTTATAAATATTATACACTATATTTATTTTTTTAAATTTTTAGAAAATTCATTTACATAATGGGATTTAGATTTTCACAGTATCAATTTTAAATTATCAATATATATTTTTTTATAATAAGGACCTTTTGAATAAAGAATCCCTTTTATGATAAGATAATCCTACTCAATTAACAATATAAAGAAACATTTTTGGATTTTAAAAAGGTAATTTTTTAAGCATATAATTGCATTTTCCTTAATTTGATGATAGATAAATAA